AAAGAGAAAAAAAAAAAAAAAAAAAAAAAAAAAAACAATATATTACATAACGAAATTAATCGCTGGTAAATTATCATCGATCAAAATACCGGAACGATGCCGTGCCATATATTTTGTCGACAATTTCCTATGGAAAAAGAAAAGAAAATAGTTAAAAAAAAAAAATAAAATAAAATAAAACAACAACATTAGACGGAAAGTTAGCATGTAGATAATATATGTGTAATAATCGTTATTCATCAAAATTACTCGTTATAATAATTATATTATAGTGCTCGATATCGCATTGTGAGAAACGTCTCGGTGGTAACATAACAAACATGCACGAATTTCATTTTAGAAGTTTCTTCTATGTGTATATATCCTAGTACCGGAAACTCGTTACATGCGTTTCAGTAGGCAAAGATTTATACGTCGTAAAGTTGTAGTCGGTAATTTCACGTTGGATCCTTTTCCCCCTATAGAAATGTGTCTCTCTCTCTCTCTCTCTCTCTCTCTCTCTCTCTCTCTCTGTATATGTGTATAGATATATCACGATATGAGGATAGAGATGAGAGATAGAGGATGGTGATTTGAGAAAGAAAATGTGAGATAAAGATAAAGGTAAAGATAAAGAGAAAGAGAAAGAGAAGAAGAAGAAAAAGAAGAGAGGTTTCCAAGAGAAAACTATGACTACTCGATTATGTATGTGTAAGTGCGTTGTCAATTGCAGGACGTATCTTTCGTTAGAGTTGAAATATACATATCCTCTTACTGTTAAGTACATTACTTTGAATAAAATTTATTACAAAATAGTTGTCTCTCTCTCTCTTTCTCTCTTTCTCTTTTTCTCTTTTTCTTTTTCTTTTTCTTTTTATTTCTAGACGTCTCTCTTCTTCATACAACTCGTATGTATTTTAGTACCCATAGCGTGTAACTCTTTTCTTTTTTTTTTTTTTTTTTTTTTTTTTGAAAATGATGATAGTTTGTGTACATCGTAAATCTTCCCTTACTTCCTTGCCCTATAGTATGCCCTCGCTCAGCGTCAGTGGAACGAAAAAGAAGGTGGTCGGTTTTGTCGACCAGCTGTCGCCCGAAAGGTACACTCACACACCTATGATGGTGCAGAATTGCAGTCAAGCCAAATTCCAATTCCAGTGAAGCGAGAAAGTATATGACTGATTTATAGCACTAGAACGAATTCCCCCCATACCTCCCATCCCATCCCCCTTTTCTCACTGTTTGCATCCTTGCAACAACGCTTCTCGCTGAACTTCACTTGAATCGGTAATGGTTTTACTTTATGTAGTATATACCCAGTGTGACATATTTCTTTTTTATTTTTGTATTATTATAATATTATGTACGCGCGTGTTTTGCAACAAATAAGAGTGACAGCTGAAAATTTCTCTCTTTTAAATATATTATAATATTTTTGTTCTATTGTGTATTTGATAATTTATTGGCCATTTAATATTATCTCGCTTGTAAGTGTATGCGCTTTCGTAATTTTTAAAATATAATAGTTAGAACACTACTTTCCTTTTCTTTCTTTGCAATATATCTTTACTTTACTTTATTTGATTTGGGGTTTTTTTTTCTTTTTTTTTTTTTTTTTTTTCAAATATTTACTCGCTCACATACACGTTACTTCTCGTAAATCGATTGTAACTCTCTCCTACGTAATACACTTTTATGTCGTTTTAAACGAAAGGGAATTCAATGCATTAAATAACGTAGCTCCGTGTTCCCACGACCGTCTGAAGACCGTGCGAGACAACGTTCGTTTGTTTACAAGAACCACGCGTCTCAAACTATTCGTTTATTTATACATTCAGCATCTCGAGAAAGACGTTCTATGTAAACAAGTATAAAAACGAAAGATCGAATTAAATTCTATAATGTTAAAACATTATATTAACCATTGCACGCGTTTCGTTTAGAAAATACGAATTTGAGAATTACTGAATTGATTTGAAGATATAAAATTATTCGTTCGCGTGCATTATTAAAAAATAAAAATAAAGAAACAAAAAGAAAGAAAATACGAAACCTTCGAAATAATTTGTACATTTTTATAATTATTATTTTAATACAATAGTAATGTGAGAATGAAAATAATAAAAAACCTATCGTCTTGATCGAGGTGGGTCGATGAACCAGCACGGAAGGAAGGGGGAAAGGGAAAAAGGGGGGAAGGTCTTCGGATACGACCATGACCGCGGTTAGAGTGCTATGAAGAAGGAAGGAAGGAAGGAAGGAGGAAGTAAAAGCGTTGATATTATTGCGTTAATATTTTATAATCATTCAATATGAAAATACACATTAGAAGATAGTTGCAGTTGTAGTTGCAAAGTTAAAAAAATTTATAATAAAAAAAATGCAGTTGCATATGCAGTTGCAGTTGCATATGCAGTTGCAGTTGCATTTGCATTTGAAGTTGCAGTTGCATATGCAGTTGCAGTTGCATTTGCATTTGCAGTTGCAGNTTGCATTTGCATTTGAAGTTGCAGTTGCATATGCAGTTGCAGTTGCATTTGCATTTGCAGTTGCAGTTGCAGTTGCATATGCAGTTGCAGTTGCAGTTAAAAAAATATAAATTTTTTCGGATCTTGACGGAACGTTGTGTCTCCACCTCCTCCCTCTCCCCCACCACCTTCTCTTCCTGCTAGTTCTTGTCATACATTGAAATTTTCAGCTTTCACTTTGCTTCTTTGAGAAAACATTACGAACATTATCTCCCGATCGAATTACTCTATGTGTTGATCATATTATATTTTATTATTTATGGTTAACAACACATTTAAACAATATATATATATATATATATATATATTTGATATTATCGAAAGATTGTTAAAAAGAAAAAAAACAAAATTCGTTCTTTTCGGAATAGAAAGTATTTTGTATATTATGTCTGTAAATGTATATGTATATGTATATAATGTTTGTGATAGATTAAACGTGTAGGATGCAAGCAAGATCAAGTTGTAAATAGAAGCACAGTGTGTTCAGCTTGGGCGATTAGCTGTTAGCCGGAAAATAGATTAGAAGTACTATTAGATAGCGCATTAGATATCCTACTCGTCATGAATTGCTTCGACCCATTCCGCATGTCGTAATGACTACTTGTGCGATTCGCAAGATCAAGATCGACCGACCTCGTACGCTTTCTTCCATCATTTGCTTTTGCTTTATTTTCTTATTCTTCTTCTTCTTCTTCTTCTATGCTTACACTTCATAATACGTTCTAATGCTTACTATATTTCTCGCTCTCATTACCTTTCATTCATACATTTTTCGATCTTCTTAGAAGAATTTCTCTTCCTTATATTTAGGACGATCGTAAAATGATTATGATGATGATGATGATGATGATGATGCAAGTAGGTATGCATTTTTTAGCTTAAACTGATTTTTCTAAATAAATATATATACTCGTTTATGAATTATTATTATTATTATTATTATTACATTTTTTTCTTTTCTATACATTTTGTATACATTGTTAAATATATAGATATAGTGAATTGGCAGCTAAGTTCCTACTGTTTTTTCTTTTCTTCCAATTATTTAATAATTTATTTTTCAATAAAAATTAATAACTAATTAATCGGTAATGTATATTCTAACTTGTTGTTAAATATTTAAATAAAACGGCGGGAACTTAATTGCCAATTAAATATTAGGTTGTCCCTTTTTTAAAGCAAGTATAACATGTCGCAAATATTTCTTTTGGTTATCCATATTAAACCACGTAGAAAAAGATTTGAAAGAGCTATAAGACGACTGAAATCTATGCCATAAAAATGAATAATAGATAAGCCTGCATGTCTACAAACATAGCCAGCTCGAAGTTATAGATAAAAAACTTATGGGACGATCTAATAATAAATATAAATCTAGAAAATTGTTATAAAAGTATCTCTGTTTAAAAATCGTACCAATGTGTTATAATTTTCACGCACTATGCAATAATTCAAAGCTTCTCTTGGCACATTACTTAAAAGTTAGCTTGCGTACAAAAAAAAAAAGAAACCGAATAATTATCGAGTTATTTCGTGTTTTAGACAGTAGTGCTACTGTTTAAAAATTGAAAGAGACTCTCTGTTAAAGTTTCTTTCATTTATCGTATAATTATCGATTTATCTTTCAGGTCAAGGACGGAATCGGTTAGATCAAAATCACCTTTGACTGCGTCACCAGCATCCCCAGGACCACTTTCTAATTCTTTACACGGTAGTTTTCACGGTAGTTTAGGAAGCGATGGGATGTCCTGCAGCAGTGCAAGGTCTTCCTCTGCTTCACCGGATTCTGCTAGATATTCTTCATCCCAGGTACAAAGTTTATCGATAGAAAAATATATTCGAGTCGTTTTATTTTATTTCGATATAATATATCAACACCTAAATCTGTCAATAATTTTAGATAAAGATCCTTAAGTAATACGATGAAAATAATGACGATTGGATTTTCGATTCGTTTTTGTATCACGTTGAAAGATATCTTACTATTAAGCATAACGGAAATAAGAAGAAACCAAAGACGTAGGATTTTCCAGCACCTCGCTGACTTGTTCAAAGATTCGCACGCGATGCTAATTGCTATTCAACTAGTCTGAGCTATTTACGTTGATCCGTTAAGAAACACGCGACTCGAGTTAATCGAACCCGAACGAGACTACAAACATTTTCATTCGAACGGTGGTTTTAAACATTGATAAATATGATACATAAAAAATCAACAGGATTCAAAAATGATTTTTACCTTTCTTCTTTAATACTCCCCCTCCCTCCCCGTCATTTTTCTCATCAACTTGGATTATTACTTTACGATATAGAATTGATCTGCTCAAATGACTAAATCTTAAAATCACATTTTTCCGGTCAACTACTCTTACGTAGGTGAACGGGAATACACGTTTATAGTGATCTCGATTACAGGACGTTTCAATCATCCTATCGTTGAGCTACTTTTATGCACATACCTTGCGTACCAACACTCAATACAGATCCGTGTCTTTGCAATATTACATTTGTTCATTTTCTCAAACAATTGGTGAAATTGTATATATATATATCGTGTAATTCTATTCATTGTAATAATAGATTATTTGCTTGTTGTTTCCTTGAAATTAATGCACAAAAAAATATTCAAAAATTATTTATTCGATTAAAAGTAATATATTTAAAAGTTCGATATCGTTTAGAAGAATATCGATATATTGATCGAAAATAATATCGTTATCGTTTGTTATCGTTATCGTTTGTTATCGATCAAACGTTCAAAAGTTTACAACTTCTTTCCAGTTTTATATCGTAAAAAGCAGTACGAGTCATATAAGACATCCTTGATTACTTTCCGACGTTCTGTCTGTCTGCGATCTGAAAACGTGACGCATCTCGAAACATTTCACTCTATAAGTGTGAGAAATCTTCGTATCTAGTTTTGAAAAACAACGTGAGATGTCAATCTGATATAATCACACAAAAAGAAGAATAGATTGATTTTTCGAAACGCGTGACCGAGATCAATTAAAAAATATATTTCTTTCTCGTTAGAATGATGGGAAATCGTTGCAACCTGTTAGCATTATTTTTCCTTTAATATTACGTAGAAAAAATATATAAATTACATAAGATTAAATAATTGTAATGTAATTATTGTCAAAGTATAATTTTCCAAAAAAAAATATCATAACAAATTGCACGCACGTATACAATTAAATTATATTCTAAAACAATAAAATCAAATATATATCGTATTCCTTAAAAAAAAGAAAAAGAAATTTAACATTAGATTTTCAGTAATGTTCCCTCTCTCTCTATGTTATAGATAACAAAGACTGACACGCGTAAACCATCTGTGCGTAGATCAGGACCACCTAAGGAATTCATCAATATGTGCCTGGAAACACACAATTACTATCGGGTTCGACACGGTGTACCACCTTTGCGATTAAGCAAACAGGTGATTATCGATCGAATAATTAATCCCAATAATACAAATGTCTGTATGTGTGTGTGTATGTATTAGATCGTTAAATAATAATATTTAAATTTACAGTTGTGCAAGACCAGTCAAGATTGGGCAAATATTTTAGCAGCTAGGGGTAGATTAGAACATAGGGCGAACATAGATTATGGGGAAAATCTTTATTGCATGTGGAGTTCCAATCCAAAGACCGTTGTTGGTGGTGATGAGCCTGTAAACGAATGGTATGTTTCAATTAACAACCAACCCTCTAATATCATTCAATCGTTCATAACGAAACTATTTAAAATACTTTTATTAATTAGGTATGCCGAGGAAGCTTTACATCAGTATGGCAAGGAACCCACTACTTTAAAAACCGGTCATTTTACTCAAGTAGTATGGAGAGATAGTACTGAGTTAGGTGTTGGCATGGCAAGGAACAGAAATGGGGAAGTTTATGTAGTATGCAACTACAATCCTGCTGGTAACTTCTTAGGTAGTTTTACGGACAACGTCCTTACACCTGGTGGCACGAGTCCGAGTAAAAGGATATCCTTTTCAAAAAGTCAATATACTTTAGACGAACAGGCTTGGCAACAAGAGGCCTTGTTAGTTCACAACGAATACAGAAGGAGGCATCGTGTACCTGACTTGAGGTTAAGTCCTGAATTAACGGCAGCTGCTAAGGTACCACTATACGTTCTTTTTTTTTTCCTCTTGTGTGTAATGCAACGAATAATATATTTCATCATTTCATTGATATATGGGAATTGTTATTTTCTTATTTGGATTTATCTAGGCATGGGCCAACACGCTGTTGAATACAAATAAATTGATACCGCAATCTTCCTCACCTTATGGAGAAAATATTTACTCTATGCAATGTTCCGATCCAAAATTGGTAGTGTCGGCACGCGAAGTTGTATCTAAATGGTATTCCGAGAAAAAGGAACATAAATTTGGTACGGAACCGAAGGTTCTTAATACGTGTATGTATGATACATTAATTATAAGAAATATAAATTATCGTTTGTGTATGTGTGTAAATTCGGAATTAGTTCTATTTTTCTTTTTTTCTCAGGTCATTTCACGCAAATCGTATGGAAAAACACGACCGAAATGGGCATAGCCATGGCAAAAAGGGATGGAACGTGCGTTGTGGTAGCGTGTTATCACCCAAGGGGTAATATCGTTGGACAATTTACGGAGAACGTTCCTAAAACTTTAAAGAACGTCTAGTCCGCATTTGCCGGAGACTAAAATTCTGTCGATAATGTATTTTAAGGGCTGTATTTATATATACATCGTGCATAGGGAAGACAATACGCATAATTTATGTATATAACACACGCGTGTGCATATACGTAGAATAAACATTCCACGTAAAATATTATTTCTACGTACTCCCTTTTTTTTCTTTTTTTTTCTTTTGTTTAGTTAATTTTTTTTCTTTTCGTTTATTATTGTTTTTTGTTTTTTTTTTTACACAATTTACGATAGAATGAAAATACGAAAAATTCATTGAATTGGTCTCGTTGCCGAACCGACACGAACGCTTCGTTGTTTGTTTATTATTTCTCCATTTGCTTTATAATAATTTATTAATAATAAATTTATACACACACATGGATATCACTCGTCGCACTGCATCCGCTTTCCAACATATTGCACGTCTATATTTATATTTATTTATAATTTTACATTCTTTTTCTTTTTTTTTTCTTTTTTTTTTTTTCTTTTTTTCCATTTATTATTTTACATTACGTACATCAGTTTTACAATGTTTGTTCTGTTTTTTAATGGTTGAAGAATGCTTAATCAGTTAAATTCAAATTATTAGAATATGTTCGACTTTTCAAATATGCCTAACTTTATTTTTTTTTTCCTCTTCTTCTATACTTTCTCTTTCTTTCTATCTCTCCCCCTTTCTTTCTCATTTTGTTTTTCTTTTTTTTTTTTTTTTTTTTTTTAAGTGAAAACAAGATTTGTGCGATGTTCGGTGCGCTCGGTGAAAAAAAAAAAGAATTTATGCGTTATGCTTCTTATGTAAGAAAAAGAAAGAAACGAAACAATGCAACAATTTACAAAATATTATACAAATTGTTGTGAAAGATTTGTGCTTTTTTGATTTTGATAATTGTTACGCAAAACGAGAAAATTCGTATTTATTGTTTAATCGCAAGGGACCCACACACACACACACACACGAGTCTCATTTAATCTTTTCAAAATGTTAGCAAAAATCGTAGAATTAAATTGAGAATAAAGTGACTGATATGCGAAAGAAATTAATTATTATTATAATTGATCAATATATCAGCTGTGTTGGCGAGAAGCTGTTTATGTGGTCGTTGTTTATGTGATCGATCATCCCAATGAAATTAAAAATATTCATTTCAATTTAATTCCCTTAAAATCCCTACCCACCTCCACGGAAAGAAAAACGTGTAAGGGAGTTTGGAAAATGTACAAAGTTCAAAAAGTCATTTTTATTCCGTAACAATTGTATCCCACCGATTATTAATTTTCACAATATTCGTCTCTTATTCAATTCGAATATTATTTTACTCGAACCATTTTCATACAAAACAAAATATATATATATATATATATATTTTTGTACATACATACATACAAAACATTACCGAGTGAATCTTCGTTGTTTCTTAAACGAAGATTAGATCCGTACTTTCTTTTTCTTTCTTTAAATTTGTATTTAACCTTTTCGTGACTGACCACTCATATAAGGGTCGTCTATACAAAGTTCCCGACCCATATAAGAGTCATATATAACACGACGTGACGTATGTACGAACAAATTAATACGTCAAAGCATGCCCTAATCGAAAGGGTTAATAAGTCAACACCGATCATCTCGTTTTATAAATTACGAGATAAATTTTTACCAAGGGAATTGTGAGTAAAAAGCGAATAAGGAGAGAGAGAGAGAGAGAGAGATAGAGAGGATAGACAGAGATAATAACGATTTCAGAAAATTGTTTGTTCATTTGTTTTTTTTTCTTTTCTTTTTTTTTCTTTTTATAAATTACTTCAACGCCAATTTCTACCAGATCAGAAATTCGTTCGCCGATCTAAAACTAAAGTCCCGAATAATTTGGTCGAACAATGTTCGAACTATTGTAATTTTTTTTTCCTTTTTCTTTTTCTTTTTTTTTCTAATTAGACGACGAATCGATACGATAATTCAAATAAATAAAAATAATATTTTTTTATTCTCGTATGAGACGTTTGTGTAAAGAGACAGAAGAAGAAGAAGAAAAAGAAGAAGAAAAAGAAGAAGAGGGTAGATAGAGAAAGTTGTACAAAGCAAGGCTTGCTGATTAATAGTTACTTTTTGATTATTTTCTTGTTTAAAATTGTCTTTTTTTTTTTTTTTTTTTTTTTTGCAAAAAAGTGAATAAGATAATCGTTATCGTTCAACGGAATAATCGTATCTCACTTGAACGTGGCAAATCATCATCATCATCATCATCATCATCATCATCAT